TGCTATGCGTTGAAGATAGCACGGACAGAGCCGGCAGCCGGCGTACTGGTGTCCCTACCCTACAGCACCGTTCCCCTGCACTTTTGAGCGCTGAAGGTGGCACGCTGCCACAGCTGCGGACCCATTCGCCCAGCACATGGCAAGGACCTTCCTTGGAAAAGAATGTACCGTTTGTCTTCACCCTCAGCTTGCACAGAGAAAGAGTCCTTTGAATGGTTCCGCCTGCTCCAGGTAGTGCCGTAAATAGGCCATTCAGCACATCCTCCCCCATCACTCCAACATTGCTTCAGGTAGGTCCTCCTTTCCCCTTGATCTCTAAGCTTAACTTCACCTTCAGGTAGACGACGAAAGAACAAGAGAGTATGATCAAATCTCAAATACGGCCTCCACTTATGGAGATCCTCAAGAAGGGATGCGCCCTGACCCAGAATTTTATCCTTTTCGAGGCCTTCAGATGGTGGCATGCTTCTCTAGGTGAGCGATAACGAAATGAACGCTGGCTTAATCATTTGGTCATGGTGCAGGCAATACCCTTTCAAAATAATTTCATAATAGCAAAATAGTCAAGCAGGACACTGCTAAGGCGATTCGGCCTTGGCTAATTTCCGGATGCTCTGCCTGAGGGATGCGCCATGCCTTCAAGATTCTCATGGCTTTGAAAACGCTTATATACTCAGCAGACTTTCAGGAAAGCACCTGAACTCGTCTCATCTCTCTTTCGAAAATTCAAAAAAAACCCCATGAAATCATTCCCCAGCAAGGAATAAAGAAGGTAAATGATCAACCACTGAAGCCGATGAACCAGATGCGTGTGATCGTGGCGTCTTCTGCCTTCTGCACCTCCACGAAAGTTTTTTTGCTCATGCGAACACTCACAGATCGGTTGATCCAAATTTGTAAGCATTCATATTGTCCTGTTCCGTTGGTGGATGGCTTACGATTGTGATGTGACCGTCTGGAGCCATCAAATCATCCAAGTGATTTCCATTGAACGTGCCAAGAAGTCCTACCGTGACGAAACGCTGACCACCTGAAACAAATTTCATTCATTTTCCCCTATATTCACTACCGTGCTCTAGCTACCGTACCTGCTACATATTGCAACGTAGATGGCTGGGATAAGGAGATCGTTCTAATGAACTCTTCTTGCGCTGACGATGTCTGACCGAACCATCCACCATCGTCCGCATCTGGATAGGTGGCACCGCGATAATTCTGTAGCGAATACGGTAATCAGTGGTAAGTATCACAGCCATATGCGGTATTTAATTTCGAAAGAGTTGTGTCAAATTTGACTAAAACTAGTTATTCATGACAATAAGTCGCTATTTCCAGGAAACAATCCCTAAGAACGAGCCCTGGGAAAGTGAATTAAGATAGTCGGTTTCTCTACTCGGAATTCGGAAATCGTAACACGTAACTAAACCTGTTTTGCACAGAGTTTCCGCCTCCTCACCCTCTCATTTCCTTTTTGAACATGAATTTGAAGGTCTACGCAGACTCGTCAATGCATTCCATCCCTTGAACTAACCGCATAAGTCTCATTGAAATCCGGTGGTAGAAGTGTCATCACGGACAGTACACCATGAGCCTCGGCTACTCGGATACCAGCGCCAGAATCGAACATCACATGAATCTCCGATTGATTGTGGTTTCGCTCCGGTGATCGAATTGTGACACCTAAGGTGAAATTTATTTTTGAATGCAGCATTCAAGTGAAACTACATTATCTCTCATTTTTGGTGATAGTGTACAGCACTTTTCGCTGCAGACGTTGGGGCCTGTCAGCGGAGGAGGGATGGGGGGGGAGGGAGGATGGCTGAGTTTCGCGCGGCATCATTCCGTTTTTCACCAAATGTTGAAATGGACAAGCGACAACAATAGTGCAAAATTGGCTGGCGCCTTGTGCAGTGAAGCAGCTATAGTTCGTAGTCAAGGCACATTATTTTCAAGGGATCTCAATCAGCGCGGCGATCATATTTGAGTTGCCTGAGGAGGGTGTCGATTTG